GACGTTTCTTGCAGTAGAACTCTTTTGTCAGTTTACTTGTTTTTTAGTAGAAAAACCTTGTGTATTGGGTCAACCAAGCCACATTCCTATTTTGCGCCAAACTTGCCCTTGGTGCATGTCTTGATTGAGCATGACTTACATGGCTAGGGATGGGATGTTTCATTAGTGGAGTACGTGTACGAAATGATAAGTTTTAAGACTTTGCTGTGATTAAATGCTTGATATGAAACTGCCAATTCTACAAGTTTCAATTCAAACATGGAATAGTTAAACTACAAATGTTTGATGCCTTATTTGTGATGACAAACGTAGCCTTTCTAGACTTCAGATTTGTTGCATGTTGGCTTATATTCTTATTTTTCTTGTATAGTTCATTTTAGTATGCGACATGTTCATCTTAGCATACTCATATCCTCCAGTTTCAAAGTAAAGAAATATTCCACTCATAAAAAGCAGAATAAATGTGATGAGAATGGCCCAGATCTACATACTAAATTCAGCAGCCTCCATGTGAACAGCTGCAGGAATCAATCTTCGTGGAAGATTGTCGGTGAGTAACGGAGTGTGACTTTGTAATGAGGTGCAAGTTGAAATACGTTGAGTGAAAAATGACATTATATAAAGTTTGGTGTGTGTTGAAATAATTAACTCCAATTAAAAAGTAGAGGTTATTTGCCAATCTGAACTCTTCAATATTTAGAGATAGTTTGATACAACTTCTAATAAAAAAATTAGTAAATATTGATAAAAGTTGATGAAATTTACAAGTAGAAAGTTGATATTTTTCCTTATGAAAGTCTTATCAAATATGTACTTAGTATTTTTGGGTAATTAAAATAGGGCATTTCCTCTTGTACATCAAGTTATGTACATCAGGGGTTACACCCTCCTCACACGGAGGATGGGACCCACTGAAATAATATTTTTTTATTTTAGTGGACCCCACCCTCCATGTGAGAGGGGTGTAATCCCCGATGTACACCCTAATGTACCACAAGCATTGCCCATTAAAATAACTGCTACACTTCTTTAACTTGTAGCGTGGTAGAAGCATAAGAAAGACACAAGAAGTTGCTCTAGTGAGATCTTGTCCTGTAAATAAAAATCTTCCATCTAGTTTCCACTTCAATTGAGACTTTTATAAACTTTTAAAAAGTTTCTAAAAGTTATGGTGTATTCAATTAATTTTTTTTAGAAACTTCTATAAGTTTTGGGTATTCAAATTTTAATGACTTTTAGAAACTTTTATATGGGAGCCGTGCAGTGTCAAAAGTACCCACACAAAGAAGAGATTACTCGACTTTAGAACAACGTTTATCGCGATTCAGCCAGCTTCTTTAACTCTATTCTCATGTTTAGGTTTTGTTTGATTCTCATTTTTTTAAATACATTTTCTCTCTCTTATATTATACCATACATTCTTCATTAAAATAATATTATACGTAAATAAAAAACTTTTACTTAATTTTTACCCATACATTCTCCATCAATTTACTATTTCAAAATACATTTTCAAAAGGAATGTAGCTCAAACACCCCTTGCAATACCAAGAATACGTTTTGCTTTAACCCAAACCTAACCCAACGTGATCGGTTTGATCAAAATTTAACCCAACCCAACTCAATCCAACCTAATCAAGTATCGGTTGGGTTGGGTTGGATTGAATTGATCGGTTTGTGATGACTTGTCAGCAAAAATTAAAGTCATCCAATTTTCTATTATACTAAATTCGGATAGACAAAACTAAATAGTAAGTAAATAAATAAAATTATCTATTATCTTATTCAATCATCATTAGCCGAACTTGTGCATTTAACATAACATGAAAAACTTATACTATATTTATTGTGGGAAGGATAGTAAGCTCCTCCTCTAAAATGCACCAAGGTAATTACAGTTACACTATCCACTCATACTTTTTAGGTTCTTTTTTACTTTTTAGGCATTTTACCAAGGTAACTACAAATTATAGTTGCTGGTAAAACTTTTGAAAGATGAAAAATTGAAAAATAGCAGTCTTTTCTTTTAAATTTGGAGTTAAATATTTAAGCAATACTCCAGCGACAAGAACAGCCTATTCAATTAGTTTGTATGACCCTTTCAATGAGAGCTACCCCCATTTTTTTATTTAAAAATTATGTGGTCAACCAGCGAAGATTTTGATTGTTTCTCCTAAGGAAGCTAGCCACCCATGTATATATACTATACAAAGAAAAAGTTGGGATATGCATTTCTTATTATTTTGTTCAAGAAAAACTATTTTTATTATGTTTAGAAAATTTATTAAGCTCGTGAACAAGATGAATATCACTCGGCATATATCAAAATGTGCTAACCTCAACGTAAAGTTTGGCTCAAAAAGAGAGAATTTTCTTTCCTTCTACTTGATAAAATTACTTGGTCCAAGACAAATTCATGCCACCCCAAAAGCTTATGTTCTAGCTTGCCGTCTCTAGTTATAGCGGACGAGAAATTCAATTCTGAGTATTGAAAATATAAGTTTTAATCTACACCCTTTTGTTCTAGTGAGATCTTGTCCTGTAAATAAAAATCTTCCATCTAGTTTCCATAGAAAACTCGACCCAATTGTATATCCAGAAAACTCGACCCATTATAGTTTCCATCTAGATTATATATCCAGAAAACTCGACCCAATTGTTTCATACAAATACCAGAACAAGAATAATTTTACAAAGTTCAGTAAGAAAGATGCCAAACAAGCATGTGAAGAAGTCCATACCTATAAACAAGAATGTCTTTCTATGAAAAGCAGCAACAAAATTCAGTCTATGAAACCAAAAATTATTACTGTCAGCAGATTATGCTACATAGAAGAATTAAGGATATATGTTCTGATCATCAAGATATGATCAAATCCATCCAATGCAAGTCAGTCGTTCATTCATTTCCTCTAAAATCCACCTCATGAACCTCGATCGAGTACTTTAAAACATAATAGTTTCTGGTTTTTCTTGTAGAACACATCGGGCCAAACTAACATTTATAACATTGACGCTGAAACAAATATATTATAGAATTTTGGCTACAAGAAATATGTATAGTTGAGATTCCAGTTAATATATGGAAATAGAAATTACTTGCATCCGCTCTCTTTTTCCACCCTGACAACAAGATTGAGATTGAGATCACGAAGATTTCGATATTCACAAAGATTATGGTTTATTACCACACACGCACACATTAATTGCAGTTTACCTAAATTGTATCATATTATCATGCACATATGTCATATTCATCTATGTAATGCAATGTATCCCGAACGGGAAAATCATTCAACCAAAATATTGACACAGCCAACCATGTTAACATTTGGTGTACTTCTGCAATTTTTGTGCGTGTTACACTATACTGATATTTTCGACCAAGACCATGATTCTTTGATGCAAAAAAACTTATAGATCACATTCCACAACTTTTTTTTTTTTTTACTAGTGTCACCAAATGGGCATTTAAAATTTTGCATCTATAGTTTTTGATAAAGATAGAAGAGACATAGTAAACGAAGTATTTTGAAATTTCACTATAGCATGGAAAATGTCAGTTAGTCAATCAACCAAACTCATAGCTGAAAGAGGGAAGGTCTGTCTGACATCATATTTGTAAAGAAATTTAGATCTGTACAAAAACAAGGCATATCGTAATTCATACCCTTCCATATCTTCTAGTAGGATCAACTTCGACAAACTCAGAATCATTTGACTCAAGATTAATGACACCATTCATTCATTTTATGTAAACAAAAAAAGACATAGTTGTTGTACTATAATGTTTGGTTTGTTCTTGTAGAGTCAGAGAAAGAGAGGATCATAAATTAACTCAAACCCAGAATTAATAAATCCAGACCGTATCTTATGGAAAGAAGAATTTTGGTGAAAGAAGAACAGGAGGCCTCGGCGAGTCCAAATAAAGGACAAGGCTATGGTTGTCTCAACAACAACTCATAGACATGCAAGACATTTTTCAAGGCTCTAGACTACTCTACCCTCCACGTGGCATATCATCACAATTATGTATCTCTCTCTCTCTTTTTCTGTCCTTGCGCATTCACTTTCTATCTCATCACGAACTGTAAAACAAAAGAACACAGCAGACGAGCACTGACTTACAATTTCATACTTTTCTTCTTTCACTAAAAAATCCAATCATCAAAGGTAGAGTGTATATATATACTCGAAGAGATCTAATCTCTATCTTTTGAAAGATGAAAATTGAAAAATAGCAGTCTTTTCTTTTAAATTTGGAGTTAAAATATTCCCTATATTAAACAATACTCTAGCAACAAGAACAGCCTATTCAATTAGTTTGTATGACCCTTTCAATGAGAGCTACCCCCATTTTTTTATTTAAAAATTATGTGGTCAACCAGCGAAGATTTTGATTGTTTCTCCTAAGGAAGCTAGCCACCCATGTATATATACTATACAAAGAAAAAGTTGGGATATGCATTTCTTATTATTTTGTTCAAGAAAAACTATTTTTATTATGTTTAGAAAATTTATTAAGCACGTGAACGAGACGAATATCACTTGGCATATATAAAAATGTGCTAACCTCAAATGTAAAGTTTGGCTCAAAAAGAGAGAATTTTCTTTCCTTAATTCTACTTGATAAAATTACTTGGTCTTAGACAAATTTATGCCACCCCAAAAGCTTATGTTTCTAGCTTGCCATCTGTAGTTATAGCGGACGAGAAATTCAATTCTGAGTATTGAAAATATAAGTTTTAATCTACACCCTTTTGCTCTAAGTGAGATCTTGTCCTGTAAATAAAAATCTTCCATCTAGTTTCCATATATTATATATCCAGATAACTTGACCCAATTGGTTCATACAAATATCAGAACAAGAATAATTATATAAAGTTCAATAAGAAAGATGCCAAACAAGTATGTGATGAAGTCCCTATCTATAAACAATAATGCCTTTCTATGAAAAGCAGTAGCAAAATTCAGACTACGAAACCAAAAATTATTAATGTCAGCAGATTATGCTACAGAGAAGAATTAAGGATATATATTCTGATCATCAAGATATGATCAAATCCATCCAATGCAAGTCAGTCGTTCATTCCTTTCCTCTAAAATCCACCACATGAACCTCGATTGAGAACTTTAAAACATAATAGTTTCTGATTTTTCTAGTAGAACACAAGAAATAATTTTGGCTACAAGAAATATATATAGTTGAGATTCCAGTTAATACATGGAAATAGAAATTACTAGTAATTTGACGACATCAGGCAGTGGACACCAAGTTTTGAGTTGACATGTGAGATGGAGGAAGTTGAACGACAAATGGAATTTATTTCAGAAAATACACTAGGCAATAAACTCTAATTAAACCATGACAAAAATATCAGACAGAGAATCTAGATGCTAAACATTTTCCATTGCAGATATAATGAAGAGCCAAAACTGTATATCTTAGAAGCAGTGATATGAATCAGATCTAGAGATTGCATGACCAAGAAAGCACTTCGGAAAAAGGTACAAGTACAACAAAGATGAATCAAACACCAGAACTTGCGTTTCTTGTAAAATGGAATAGCCATTTCAGATTCTTTTCATCCATTTCGAAACAAGATTACAAGGTTCAATCCCAACACGGGAAGCAAGCACAGTTTTGTGATATAACAACAGCCTAACACGTACATAAGCAAAAATAAAATATTAATAATAATAAATTCCCGCAGTAGAACATAATGAAAACATATTTTACTTAATGCCATCAGAATCCATCACAAAAATAAAGCAGATTTTACGCTCTCATATTTTCCTACCACTTTGATGTTTAGTAAACGAAAAGGTCCGATAAAAGTAGCCCAAAAGGTTTCAGTTCCTTCAGTAAACTATTATGCCTCAGCGATAGCCATTTTAGATTCTTTTCATCCATTTCGAAACAAGAGTACAAGGTTCAATCCCAACAAGTAGACTTGCGAAGAGACTGAAGGAACTGAAACTTTATGGGCTACTTTTATCTTACCTTTTACGTTTACTAAACATTGAAGTGGTATGAGAACGTAAAATCTACTTTATTTTTGTGAGGGAGTCTGATGGCATTAAGTAAATTATGTTTCCATTATGTTCTGCTGCTGGGAATTTATTATTCTTAATATTTTATTTTTGCTTATGCACGCGTTGGTTTGTTGGGCTGTTGTTATATCACAAAATGAGAAATTCAAGAATTTC